GTGCTTTTATGGCTATTACTCCAAACGTTAATAATACGATTGTTAACAGATATGGAAACTTTTCTTCTATGAAATATATGGTAATTAAAAATATATCTATATATATATATAATAAAATAAAATAATAAAATAAATTAAGAGTAAGAATGAAGGGGAATATTTTATCATGAATTAGTGCATGTATATGTAAATATTCGTTTATTTATCTGTAGTTCATAAAATTGAATATTTCATAATATAGGTTAGTCTGTTTCTTTAAGGCATACCTATGATACTGTTTGATTATATCACATTTTAAAATAGTTAATATATGAATGTCCCTTCTGACTCTTCCTCTTCCTCTTAATTTCGTTAGTATTATTTCATTTGATCTAACAATCAATGCCTTTTTCTAACAATAGAGTATTCGATCAGTTAATTATGCTCCACTTGTTAAAGCAGCCGATCGCTTGTCTTGGGAAAAAGAAAATGTAATAATAATAAAACAATTAAATAGAGATAATCAAATAGTGACTCGTGATAATGCGACAGAATATTTTCCTCTTCGGTATATTTCTCCATGGAGAATTGATTCATATAATGGCGTTGGATACGATGTTTATTCTCAAGCTGATAGACAGAGAGCGATTGATATAGCAAGAAAATCAAAAAACATCTCTATTACTAGTAAGATTAATCTCGTTGTCAATACTTCAATCACCGGGGTGCTCGTCTTCTTTCCATTCTTTAAAAACTTATCGGATCAAGACTCAGTACCTCCGGATAGAGATGTTGATGGACTTGTTATTGGAGTCTACGATACTATGTATACATTTGGAATGATCATGAAACAATTCCAAGATGTTGGTTTAGCAATTAAAATCATTGATCGTGGTTATAACTCTTCGATTTATGATTCTTCGCAACCAGGTGAAAAGTATCAGGACGATTTTGTTGTGGAACGTTCTTCTGTCTTAGCGGATCGTAACTGGACATTTCTATGCGTGCCAACGGAAAACGCATATAATCACACGGTTTCGAAAACTATGCCTTCAGTATCTTTGGTGCTTTTTATATTATTTTTTGGATTATTAGGCTTTCTCACTTCCAGATATTTCATAGAAGAAAAGTTTCCATATCTGTTAACAATCGTATTATTAACGTTTGGAGTAATAGCCATAAAAGCAC